GCGGTTCTTTTTCTAGATTATACTATATGGATAAAGACAATAACTATTGTTATAAATAAATTACTTAAACAATAAAATAGAATAAATATATATATTATGTTTTAATAATAAATGTGTATGAGGGAAACAACTTTTACTATTCCAACCAATTTTTTTCCCCACTACCTCGCTTTTTCAACGATCCTGATGTAGCGCTTATTGTCGTACTTGGTGTATCATGATCACTAATAAAAAAGAAAGCGCTGCTAATGATAGCTCCCTTGAAGATATAGAAGCAATAATGAATGAATTAGGTCTTACTATTGATTCCTTAGATAGTTCAAAGTTTAGTGTTGTAACCTACATTAACGAGGTTGGAATATTTTTGTTCGTTACACCTTGTTAAGCTTTTTCCGAATGAACAATCCTTAGCTAATATCGACGATGTTATTTTGGACATACAAAATAAAATTCATTTTTTGGATGAAGAAACTAGCCAAATAGTAAGTGGTCAATGGAAATCAGAAGAGAAAGGCCAAGAAGTGGTTAGTAGTGCGATGGTTTTAATCCAGCAATTATTTTCTAAGTACGTTATATTTCTTTATTTCTTCAGAATAAATAGTGTTCAGGATATAGCGACTCGTTCTGAGGAAATGGTGCGGGAAATCACCCAGGATATTCAGCAATTGGATCAGGCCAAGCGCAATCTCACCTTATCCATAACAACTTTAAATAACATTGTGCTCATAGTCAGTGCCATAGATAAGTTAAACGAGCTTCTTGGGCTTGCAACTAACGAATCTGAAGATGATGATAAAGCCGAGCATACCAACCCTTTTTCAAAGCAAAAAGGTATTAGTTACATAATTCCTCATCGTCAACCTATTGCTAAGGAGTATCATATAAAAAGCTGTTTTGTTATTTTATTTTAGCAACTATTTGCATCACTTGCAATTTTGATACGACAAAATGTGATATACGAGAGGGCTAGCCTTCATTGAATTTAAATTCTTCTGTGTGACTGAGTGAAATTTATCATTGTGCTGCATTAACTGGTTTAGATTCCTGCTTGAGGCACTGATTAGGCGTAGAGTAGGTTAGAATTGCAGTTCCCCATGGATGATAGTACCCTTAAGGAAGCAAGGCTTAGTTAAATTCAACGGAATCGTAAGGCCTACTCATATAGTTGTGGAAAAACTAAAATGTTATTTATTCATCATCTTACGTGATGTGACTAGATACCTTAATTTATATTTCTTTACTCATACTCATCATCATCATTACTCTATATATCTTCTCGCTTTTAGGTAGATTATTCAAGTTAATATTCTTCAAGTATTTTTTACTAACTAAAGGATACAACTAGCTGAAAAACATCACAACGAAGTTCAACGAGTCGATATATTGAAAATACTAATTAAGTGGTATAATTATAAGCTCTGGGTATTTCATGGATCTTTTTTACAGATATACATAAACTCCCAAATTCTTATTTTAGCATATGTTAATTTACCCCATTCTATTTCTTATACGGTATGGTGCAATAAATATAATGTACTCTATCTTTATTATCCCTAAATTATTCTCTTTTTCATTTGCCAAAAATGCTAAGATCTGTTTTTTAACTTGATTTTGGCTTTCCTATGTTCTTCATATATATATATATATTTGTGTGTGTGTGTGTGTAGGCAGAATGAAGTATCTCGGTGTATTGGAAGAT